TGGTCATTCCTCTCCATGAGCCACTAGTGAGGCAACACCATCCCGATACCATACAGGGAAGCATCGCATGTCAGCACTACCTCTCGCCTTGGATTGTAGTGGGCCAATACCTTAAATGATGATAGCTACTTTTTCACTTGCCTAAAGGGGAATGCACCTCAACATCTCAGAATTGCTTTCTGGTCAACATGCAAAGTGGCTTTTGCAACTCTGATAGTCCCAAGCTCTTCCTGAAATACCCCTGGGTATTTCACTTGGACTTCACTGAGGCAGCCATTTTCTAATCAAAAAAATGTTGATCCATTCTAGGTGAATCTTTTTCAAGCAATTCTGCCCCAGTAGGCTGGGCCCAGGCCTTTTACTACCATCAGTGGTAACTGCACCGACTGCTTCTCATATGAGACCGGAACCAAAGTCGTACCTTTAATCTGCAATGGTTCTGTAGTGTATGTTCTCAGTCTGGCTGAGGTCTTGCACAAACTTAAGGCTTGGAGTCCCGAGTGAATCCGGTGAAATACAAATTCTGCAATCATAGATACAGCTGCACTGGTATTGATGTCCATGGGAACTGAGTGTCCAATTAACCAAACATTAATTTTAATCGATTCCGATTTGGACGTCGCTGAGCAGTTCCATTGTTTCAACCCACATGTAGGGGGACTTTCCAGGGTGTACAGTCTGCTGGGTACCGGCTTTCAAGTTTTCTTACTCAAGTCAGGCCTTGTAGGACTCCGTTGCAGTCTGAATTCCGCATATCGGCAGCAACGACAATGGTTTGCAGGCCCAGATCCTGAAGAACATTTTTGCTACTTGGCCAAGGCTCAGCTTTGTTGAGGGGCTCTGCTGTGGGCTGACCTAGGCTCCCTGTGATCAGGATATGCCCTGTGTGAGGCTCTGCAATTAGCTATGCTCAGTTGAGCAGGTGAGGGAATTTATTTCCATTGAGGTGCCATGTTTCTCCCATGCTCCACTTGCCGCATTTCCTAATGACAAAGCCAGTTGTAGGGCCTGTTTGAAATCCAGATGGGGTTCAGCTAAACAGCACTTCTGCATGGTTACGTTATTAATCCCACGTGCCAAATGATCTCTCAGCATCTCATTCAGGGGTAACCCAGAATCACATTGCCTCGGCCAGTTGTCTCAACCTTGTCAAAAATCCTGATACAGATTCCCCTTGTTCTCTAAATAGCCAAATAAAACTGATAGCATCTCAGAATTAGAGGGGCTTTAGAGATCGTAATATTTCTCAATCAACTCTGTCACTCTTGGAAGGTTTCAATGTCTGCTGCCTCTGTAAAAGTTAACCCCCATTAATGGAAAATGCTGCAGGTCTGCAAGCAGTCAGAAGGATTATTCATTGGTTTTCATCTGCCCTAATGTCATGTGCCTGGATACATACTGGGCCCAGTCTTTGACAGCAGAATCGTATGAGTCAAGTTTCCTAAATGAAGGCATGATGCCAGAAATGCTTACCCCACCTCCAAGATGACTGTTGCAAGTGAATGTTCTTCAGGCATGTACTGTTTTCTCCCATCACCACTGAAATAACTGCACAGAAGCCAGTATTCTGTCACCAAGTCATCCTTTATTTACTTGTGTACAGTACACTGGTTGAAGCCTGCCAATTTGGAGTCTGCTGCCCTTGTCCTTCTAGATGGAAGTGGTTGGGGGTTTGGAAGGTGTTGTCTGAGGATCTTTGGTGAATTTCTGCAGTGCATCTTGTAGATAACACTGCTGCTATTGAGCGTTGGTGGTGGAGGGAATGGATGCTTGTGGATGTAGTGTCAATTAAGTGGACCGCAGAATTCCGAGCTTCTGACCTGCTCTTGTAGCCACTATGTTTACGTGGCGAGTCCAGTTGAGTTTCTGGTCAATGATAACACCTAGGATGTTGGTAGTGAGGGATTCAATGATGGTAACACCATTGAATGCGAAGGGGCGGTGCTGAGATTGTCTCTTATTGGTGATGGTCATAGCCTGGCATTTGTGTGGCACGAATGTTACTTGCCACTTGTCAACCCAAGCCTGGATATTGCACAGATCTTGTTGCATTTGAACATGGACTGCCTCAGCATCTGAGAAGTCACAAAGGTACTGAACATTGTGCAATCATCGGCAAACATCCCCACTTCTGACCTTATGATGTAGGGAAGGTCATTGATGAAGCAGCTGAAGATGGTTGGGCCGAGGACACTACTCTGAGGAACTCCTGCAGATTTGTCCTGGAGCTGAGATGATTGACCTCCAACAACCACAACCATCCTCCTACTTGACAGGTATGACTGCAACCACCGGAGATTTTGCCCCGATACCCATTGATTTCAGTTTTGCCAAGGCTCTTGATGCCACATCTGGTTGAATGCAGCCTTGATGTCAAGGGCTATCACTTTCATCTCACTGCTGGAATTTAGCTCTTTTGTCCGTGTTTGAATCAAGGCTGTAATGAGGTCAGGAGCTGAATAGCCCTGGCAGAACCCAAACTAGGCGACATTGAGCACGTTATTGCTGAGCAGGTGCTGCTTGATAGCACTGTTGATGACACCTTCCATCACTTTACTGATGATCGAGAGGAGACTGATGGGGTGGTAATTGGCCCGGTTGGATTTGTCCTGCTGTTTATGTACAGGACATACTTGAGTAATGTTCCACATTGTCAGGTAGATACCAGTGTTGTAACTGTACTGGAACAAGTTGACTCGGGGATCAGCAAGTTCTGGAGCACAAACCTTCAGTACTATTGCCGGAATGTTGTCAGAGCCCGTAGCCTTTGCAGTATCCAGTGTCTCCAACCTTTTCTTGGTATCACGTGCAGTGAACTGAATTGGCTGAAGACCAATATGTGTAATGCTGGGTACCACTGAAGAAGGCCAAGATGGATCGTCCACTCGGCACTTTTGGCTGAAGGTAGCTGTGAAGCTTCAGCCTTATCTTTTGCACTGATGTGCTGGGCTCTTCCATCATTGAGGATGGGGATATTTGTGAAGCCTCCTCCACCAGTGAGTTGTTTCATTGTACACCACTATTCACGAGTAGATGTGGCAGGACTGCGGAGCTTAGATCTGATCTGTTGGATCAGCTTTCTGTTTATCCCAGTCACTCAAATCCTAGCTAGATATGTAAGAATTAGGGCTATCCCATGGCAGTACAGCAAAAATGGCTGACGAAAGCCCAACAAGCTTTGCTGCGTATTTAACAGGAATTAGAGAGGGTGGGAAAGGCTTGTGTTCTCAATGTTTAAAACAATAGCTGTCTGTTTCCTCTCAGTAAGATTGGATGTGCAACATTCTTTACGAAGATAAGAACATTTGATGCCAATCAGTTATTTCTTGTAATTTTTTTCTAATCAATCAGTTATAATACTACAAGTAGGTTTTAATGAAGATTCTTCAAGATAATCATTGTTATACATTTTGAAGTGTTATAGAAAGATATATAATAGTTATATACAAATCACTATAACATTAAAAGGAAGGTTTAAGAACTAATTTTGAGTAATAGAGAGGGACCTCGCTATCTCTTATCAAAGACAGTGGCTAAGAGAGTTGGAATGGTGGGAAATCTCAAAGAAGACTCTGTTACAATCTTGTACAAAATAGCAGACACAGATGTCATAGTTGAAAGATAAAAGGTCACAAGTGACCATGGAGAGTTCAGTTTCCCACATACCAAAAGGGGCCTATTCAGATCACAGCAACAAGACTACTAATAGAGTGATGTACTGGAAACCCAATCATAGTTGAACAACCCAGCACTAATTAACAAATAGTATACAAGGGCAGGGAGTATGAGCCATCATGTTAATGTTATGAGAAAAACTATAAAAGACAATGTACTGGTATTTAAAATTACAGCATCATTGACTTTTCTTCCAATCTGAGTTGAAGGCTAAGGGGGTGATTGGACCCTCACATCAAGGCCAGACTTGGAGTAGTCTTTAGCCTCTCCCTGCATTGTATGGTAGAATGCATGAATAAATTACCACATGCCTCAAAGTCTGCTATCTCCTGAAAATTTATTACCTCCGTAAACTTGTTCCAACAGTAAGCAGCTCACTTTAGATAGAATGCATGGACACAACACTAATTGTCTTTGCAGGAAGCCTGTTCAACATTTAGTGGCCAATTTTTTTCCTGTTTTCTGATTGTATTTCTTTCTGTAGCAACGAAAATCTGCAAGTAGCTACATTATATTTTACACTTTAAAATCATTGCAGCATTATTTGAATGTCCAACATTAGGCCAGACTTAGAATGAATTCAAAAAATCTTTTACCCAAACAGATCTTTGCAAGGGAATTACATTTTAAAACTCAATATGTGTGCTGAACAGAGCTATGGTGACCAACAATGTGCGCAAATCTTGAATAACTGAAAATTCCACACATAAATTGAGCCAAATGCTGAATTTCAGCGCAAAGTGGTTATGACCAGAATGATCATAACAGGGGTGAGGGGAAATTACTTCTTTCAAACAGTCTTGAATCAGTGGAATTCATTACCTCAGAGTTTGGTCAATGCTAGGACATTGAGTAAAATTATGGAGGAGTTAGACAGATATTTAGTTCGTAATAAGTTGAAGAAGAGCAGGCAAAGTGGAGTTGAGGCTAAGAGGAGATCAGCTGTGATTGAATTAATGGAGGAATAGGCTTGAGGGGCTAAATTGTCTCCTCCTACCCTGAACTTAGTTGGCCAAAGTCTGACTGGTCAATCAGAATCAGGTGGCATTTCAAATTTGGAAATATCTTTCCAATTTTCGACATATGCCTTCAGCAACTACACCAATATTAAAGCCAAAGGCATTACGTGGCCATGGATGAGCCGCAGGTTTCATAAAAAGGCGCCAAACAACCAACGCACGTGACCCTCCCACTGCACATGTCCAGCTCCGGAATTCTCGCCGTTAAAAAAAAACAAAGATCGCGACATTTGGAGTTTGTGGTCTGATTGGCTGACGGTCACCTTACGTGGAGGTCAGCATCGCGAGATCTTATCAGCACGACCTTCTCGCTGCCTGGAAGTTGAATGGCGGCGGCTGTTTGTGGTGTGGAGGTTGTTATCCATGTTCTTGCTGTATTCGACCTCAGAGACGCCGCTTTATTGAAGCCCTTTGTTCATATTTTGTTTTAAAAGAGCTGAGTGGGTCTCTGCGGTAAGCGAGTAAAATTTTGGTCCGGTTGGGGAGGCTCAGCCGACCATAGCAACCACCGGAGCCTCGGGAGATGCCGGTGGCTGGAGCCTTCGGCTTGGGGCGAGGGTTCGGGGAGGGAACCTGTTAATTCGATAAACCCAGGATTCAGCTGTCTAACCCGGAGTCACCTTCGGATCTGTGAGTGTCCTGTTAATCCTGCAACTTTCATAAACATAGGGAGCCCTCAGAAGTTCAATTTAACCTACCACTACAGAGCAATCTATTAGCACCTCAAAACCATGACTTAATTTGTCAATTAAGGGTGTTTTATAAACCCTTAAATCTCAAACTATCAGATTTTTCTGTTCAGATGTTGTTACACGCCCCTGGAGCATATGAGACTTGAACCTGGGTTTCCTGGGCCAGAGGTGAGACACTACCATTACCACAAGTGCCCTAATCCCAAATTAAATCTGAGAATTTATTAATGAGGTTAATTTGTCAATTTAGGGTGATCTCCAGTTTAGTCTGTTAATCTGTGGTAATTTGAATTGCTGGAAATCACAAGTGTCATGATGTAGAGGAGGCCATTCGACCCATCATTTGCTGCTTCAAATGAGCATTATTACCAAGAGCCCATCTCCTTTTTACCCATACCGTTGCACATCATTCTGCCCAAATAATAATCAAAAGCCCTATTGAATGCTTCAATTAAGCCTGCCTCCTACTTCCACAGTGTATTACACACCCTAACCACTCATTGTGTGAAAAAGTATTTCCTCATCCTATTTGCTGTCTTGCAAGTCACTAAATCCATGCCCTCTTATTGTTCTTTTTTACAAGCAGGAACAGTTTTTCCCTACCCACTCTATCCAGCCTGCTAATGATTTTGAAAATCTCTCTGATCTCCTCTTAGCCTTTTTTCCAAACAGACTATCCCAATAACTTTAGTCTTTTGCACATGACTGAATTCCTTCAGCCCTGAAATCATTTTTGTAAATTGCTTCTACGCACTATCCAATGTGTTCACGTGCTTCCTATAATGTGGTGCCCAGAATTGTACACAATACACCGGCTGAGGTCTAACAAGTGTCTTATACAAATTTAACATCACCTTTGTTCTTGTACTCTATGTCCCTATTAATAAAACTAAGAACACTGCTTCATTAACGGCTCGCCACACGTGTCCTTCCAACTTTAATGATTTGTACACAGATGTACCCAGGTCCTTCTGCTGCTGTGTGCCCTTTGATGTTTTTCTATGTTCTTCCTCACATGTCTGCATTTAAGTTCATCTGTCACCTATCTGTACATTCACCAACTTTGAGTTCTACATCATCCTCCTCACTATTTATATATTTTTTCAAATTTTGTGTCATCTGTAAACTTTGAAATTGTTCCCTTCGTACCAAAATCAAGATGATTGATATGCATCAGGAAAAGCAAGCTACCAATGCTGATCCCTGGAGGACTCCACTAAAACGGACCCCTAGCCCAACAAAAATCCATTGACCATTACTCTGATCGCACAGATGATTTTGTAAGCTTGTTGCCACTGTCTCTTTTATTCTATGACCTATAACTTTCCTGTCAAGTCTGTTGTGTGGCACTGTATCAAACATCTTCTGGAAGTCCATATACATCAGTGCTACCTTCGAGTCTTTTTCTTATGACACCAAAGTTAATCAAACAACATTTTCCTATTATAAATCTGTGCAGACTTTCCTAATCAATCCACCTTTTTCAAGATGACTAGTAATTCTATCTTGAATAATTGTTTCTAAAAGCTTCCCCACTGCTGAAACTGCTTGGTCTGTAATTGCCGGGATTATCCTTACAACGTTTTTTGAACGTGGCCACATGTTTGCAATTCTCCAGTCTTCTGGCATCTCTCCTGAGTCTAGGGACGACGGAAAGATTATGATCAATACCCCTGCAGTTTCCACACTCATCTCCTGCAGTATCCTTGGATGAATCTCATCTGGTACCTTCTCCGTTTTTAAGTACCAGTAGTTTATCCAACACTTAATCACACGTTACATGTGGGCATTGCTGGCTGGGCCAGCATTCGTTACAAGTGGGCATTGCTGGCTGGGCCAGCATTCATTGTCCATCTCTAGTTGCCCTTGAGAAAGTGGTGGTGAGCTGCCACCTTGAACTGCTGTAGTCCATGTGCAGACCCACAATCCCGTTAGGAAACAAATTACAATGTTTTGACTTCTTCCTGAATGACAGAACTTTTTCCTCTATCGCTGAGGTCTTGTTCGCATCTACCTTTTTAGTAAAGACAGATGCTAAGTATTCCATTAACACTTCAGCCATACTGCCTGCTTCCTGGTGGAAGTTCTCTTTTTGGTCTCTAATCGGCCCTGTTCCTTTTTTTAAACCACTCATCCTCTTTATATACCAAAAGAAGACTTTGGAACATCTATCTATGTTTGCTGTCAGTCTTTTCTCGTAATTTCTCTTAGTTTATTTTATTTGCTTTATCATCGTCTTTCTGAACCTCTGTATTCTTCTTGATACAGAATTGTGTTATCTATCTGGTATCTCTCATAACCATACTTTTTCTTCTTTCTTAATTTCTATCTTCTTTGTCATCCTAGGAGTTCTGAATATATTTATCCTACCTTTCCCATTTGAGGGAATGTACCATGACTTTCCTCAAATCATCTCCTCTCTGAGATAGTCCACTGCACAATTACAGGTTTTTCCCCCAAGAGCTTCTTGTTCCAGTCTATCCTGCTGAGCTCTGTTCTTACCTGATGGAAGTCTGCAGTCTGCCAGTTGGTAGACTATAGACTACACCTAGCAATGTAATCGTACTCTTTTTGTTCCTTAGCTGCAGGCAAATTGATTTGGCTGAATGAACTGTGCAGATTTAATGGACCTAAAGTTCATCTTTTGTTGTTCTGTGATTTTATAACCTATTAAGCTTGCAGTCTTTGTAGTCTCTGGGATCCTAGTGATTGTAACAAGCAGGAGATAGTGTCTGTGGAGTGATTGACAATCTGGTCATTTAAGTCGTTGGCTAGTGGATTAGACAGATTTGGTAGAGAAAAGCAATATACAGTGAAAGATACAACGCTAAGTGGGTGCATGAATTTGGGGTTTATGTACAAGAATTATTGTAGGTTGGAGGGCAAACTGAGAAAGTGCTACAAAAGGCGTATGCGATCCTGGCCATTGAGTAGAGATTAGGTCTATTGATCGAGGAAGTGATGTTAAATGCCAGCTTGGAGTATTGTATCTGGTTAGGCATCACACTTTGCAAATGTGAATGCATTAAAGAAAGTGTAGAGAAATTTACAACAATGGTTTCAATCATGTTGATTGATTGGAAAAGTAGTGGTTGTTTTTAAAGAAGAGAAGACCTCTAAATCATGAGAATCAAAAGAGCTGCAAATGCTGTAAAGCAGAGGCAAACATGGAAATTGCTGGAAAATCTCAATAGGTCTGGCAGCATCTTTGGAAAGGTTCTGAGGAAGGGTCATTAGATTAACTCTGATTTCTCTTCTCAATTGTTGCCATTTCTAGCAATTTCCATTTTTGTCTCTAAATCACGAGAGGTCTTAACAGGTTAGAGAGAAACTATTCCTAATGGTGGGAGGATTGAGAGCCAGATGAAACTCTTTTAAGGTGAATAGCTGAAGAAGCAATAGTACATGAGGAAACATCCTTAAATGCAGTTAACAGGTAGCCTCCAATATACAATGTCCGAGAGTCCAATGGAGGCAAAAATCATCATGGGTTTCAAAAGTGAACTGGATAATTAACTGAAGGCAGAAGTTTGCTAAGCTGTGAGAAGAGAATGGTGGGAGTTCTACTTCTGTAATCTTTTGCAGAGACAAAGGGTCAAATGGTCTCGTGTAGTAACTACTCTTTGATTGCTAATCCATAGATTATGACAGTGTTGGTTTCAAATAATACTATGGCTACAGAGTGTTTTCAGGCATTGTTCAGATAGGAATGTTGCAGTAGAAATACTGTTTCATTTGGGCATCAATTCAATTTTTAAAATTCATTCATGGTATGTAGGCATTGCTGGCTCTACCAGTGTTTTTCTGCCCATCCCTAGTTGCTGTGTAGAAGGTGGTGGTGAGCTGCATTCTTGAATTGCTGCAGTCCATTAGATGTAGGTCCAGCCGCAATGCCATTGGGGAGAGAGTTCCAGTATTTTGACCCAGACATACTGAAGGAACAGCAGTATATTTCCAATCAGGATGATGAGTGACTTGCAGGTGGTAATGTTTTCATGTATCTGCTGCTCTTGTCCTTCTAGATGGTAGTAGGTTTAGAAGGTGCAGTCTACAGAACCTATTCTGCAGTGGATCTTTTATATGTTGTCAGTTAATGGACTGCTTTGTCCTGATGAGATCAAGCTTTTTGAGTATTATTGGAGCTTCACTTGTAAGTGAGGAGTATTCCATCATAGTCCTAGCTTGTAGGTGGTGGACAGGATTTGGGGAATCAGGATGTGAATTACTTGTTCCAGGATTCCAAGCTTCTGACTTGTTCTTGTAGCCATATGTTTATAGTCCACTTCAGTTTCTGTTCAGTATTAGTCCACAGAATGTTTATAGTGGGATTAGTGTTGGTAATTAGTGTTGAAGGTTGGGTTTCATTTTATAGTTATTGCTTGGGGCTTGTGTGACTGAATTTTACTTGGCATTTGTCATCCCATATCTAGATATTGTCCAGGTCTTGCTGCATTTGGACCTCGTTTCCTTGCCCATGTTTGACCAGATGTCCGGAAACCTCGGGGTTTGGAGTCAACGTTGAGGTCTCCCAGGGAACCTGCTCCTGACTGTACCACTCTATACCATTGTGCCAGCACCTCTGTCCCACTTTCAGGACAGACCCATGCGATAGTGTTGTCTGGTACATTGTGTGTAAGGTGTGACTCTGTGAGTAAGACTAATTCAGGCTCTTGCTTGACTAGTCAGTGCGATAGCCCTCCCAATTTTGCCACTAACCCCAGGAGAGATACATTTGTAAGGAGGAGCTCAGCAGGTCTATCGGCATCTGTGAAGAGAAATCAGAGTTAATGTTTTGGGTTAACTCTGATTTCTCTTCACAGATGCTGACAGACCTGCTGAGCTTTTCCAGCAACTTCTGTTTTTGTTTCTGATTTACAGAATCCGTAGTGCTTTTGGTTTTTGTTTGCGAGGAGGACTTTGCTGGGTTAACAGGGCTGTGTTTGCTATTTCTGATGCTGTGGTCAATGCCAGTTGGTGTCCTTTGAGACTTGCCAGAGGTTGATACAATTGGGTGGCTTGTTAGGCCATTTCATGGGCAGTTAGGAGTCAAGCACATTGCTGCAAGTCTGGAATTAAGTACAGATGTGTGGGCAAGGAATGCTGCTTTCCTTCCCTAAAGGACATTAGTGAACCAGATGGGTTTTTCTGATAAACAACAATGGCCGTTGTTATTCTTTCAATTCCAAGTTCTACAATTTGCTATTGTGAATTTGAATCTGGATCTCCAGAACCATTACCTGAATTACTAGTACAGTGACAATACTATCATCCCCCCGAGTCCCTTGAAAATCTTTTTGTTGTGATTTTAACCTAGTCACTGGCTTCCAGTGCTCATAGTGGATGTAATTCATAGGATTGTTTAAGAGACTGTGGAATGTTTGCTCGCATTTTATGCCATTCTGTCAGTACTGCTTTTTCTCACTCATTGCTTACATTTTCTAAAATCAAGAAAATGTGGCTTTCCTTGCAGGAGTTGACAGAATGTATGCAGTGTATCGCCAAGCGCACCCCCCGACAGGGATTGAATTTGCTATCTACTGCAGCTTCTTTTCAAACACTGAGCGAAATCTTGTGGTGGCTGGAACATCGCAGCTGCAGGTTTACAGGTTGATCCATGATGCAGAGGTGAGTTTCAATGAAAATTCAAAATATTGATTATTTGGAAATTTGTAACTTTGCCTGAAATAAACCTAGAAACATGAGGGGCAGGAGTAGGGCATTGAACCATTCTTTCCTGGCCATCTCGCTATGGATGGCCTTCTCCCTCATTGCCATTTTCCCATGCTGTCCTGTCATCCCTTGATATCGCTTCCATTTAGAAATCTGTTGATCTCTGTTTAGAGCATTGAGAATGATATTTCCCTACCCTTGCAGGCTGTAACAACTCCAAAAATTCACCACCCACTGATGAAAATGTTCCTCCTCATCTCAGTCTTGAATGATTTACCCCTTAGTCTGAGACTGCCCCAACTGGTCTAGACCCCAACCAGGGGAAACATCCTCTCTGAAATCACCCTTTCTAGTCCTTAAGAATTTTGCAAGTTTTAATGCAATCACCTCTTATTCTTCTAAAGTCTAGAGAATACATGCTCTGTCTCCCTCAATCTCTATTTGTAAGTTAATGTGGTTAAGTTTAGGGACAGTGAAGAAGGTTATCTCAGAGTAAAAGGGGACCTTGATCAGATGGGCCAATGGATCGGGAACTGGCAGATGGAGTTCAATTTAGATAAATGTGAAGTATTCTATTTTGGTAAGGCAAATCAGGGCAGGACTTGTACGCTTAATGGTAAGGTCTTTGGGAATGTTGTCAAACAAAGAGACCTTGGGATGCAGGTTCTTAGTTCCTTGAAGGTGGAGTCACAGGTAGATGGGGTAACAAAGAAGGCATTTGGTATGCTTGCCTATATTGGTCAGTGTATTGAATATAGGAGTGGGGATGTCATGTTGCGGTTGTACAGGACACTTGTTAGGCTACTTTTTGAATACTGCATTCAGTTCTGGTCTACCTGCTACAGGAAAGATGTTAAAGTTGGAAGGGTGCAGAAAAGATTTACAAGGATGTTGCCAGGGTTGGAGGTTTTGAGCTATAGGTAGAGGCTGGATAGGCTGTGACTATTTTCCCTGGAGCATCAGAGGCTGAGGGGTGACCTTATAGAGGTTTTTAAAATCATGAGGGTCATGGGTAGGGTGAATAGCCAAGGTCTTATCTTCCCAGGGAGGGGGAGTCCAAAACTAGAGGGCATAGGTTTAAAGTGAGAGGGGAAAGATTTAAAAGAGGCATAAGGGGCACCGATATCGCACGGAGGTGGTGTGTGTATGGAATGAGTTGCCAGAAAAGATGGTGGAAGCTGGTATAAGTACAAAATTTAAAAGGCATCTGGATGGGTGCATGAATGGAAAGGGCTTAGAGGGACATGGGCCAAATGCTGGAAAATGGCACTAGATCAATTTAGGATATCTGGATGCCTGGACGAGTTGGAACGAAGAGTCTGTTTCTGTGCTATATAACCCTCTGATTCTATATCCCAGTGAGGAAGAAAGGTTCTAGGAAAGGGCTAAGTCAACCATAATCAACCAAAGAAGTTTAGGATAGTGTCAAATTGGGAGGAAAAGAATACAATGTGGCAAAGGAGACTCATAAGCCAGATGATGGAAGTTTAAAAAGCCGATGAAAGACAACCAAAAAAATTAAGAGGGAAGTAAATAAACTTTGAAGGAGACCTAACAAGTAATACAAAAGAAACAGATAGCAAGTGCTTCTTGAAAAATATATGTAAGAAAGATGTCAAAATGAACATAGGGCCCCTAAGAGGCTGGCGAAGTTAAAATGGGGAATGATTAAATGGCAGAGGAATTGAACAAATACTTTATATTGGCCAGCATTTATTGTCCATCCCTAATTGCTCTTGTGAAAATGAGCTGTCTTCTTGAATTGCTGCAGTCCACATGCTATAAGTTGACCCACAGTACCCTTAAGGAGGGAATTCCAGGATTTTGACAGCAACAGTAAAGGAGTGGCAGCATCTTTCCAACTGAGCATGGTGAATGGCTTGAAGGGGAACTTGCAGGAGTTGGTATTCCCATGTATCTGTTATAGTTTGGAAGGTGCTAAAGATGCTTGGTGAATTTCTGCAGTGCATGTTGTAGATAGTGCATACTGCTGCTCCTGAGCGTCGGTGTTGGAGGGAGTAGATGCTTATGGATGTGATGCCCATCAAGTGGGCTGTTTTGTCCTAGCTGATGTCAAGCTTCTTGAGTGTAGCTGGAGCTGCATCCATCCAGGCAAGTGGGGAGTATTCCATCACACTCCTGACTTGTGCCTTATAGATGGTGAACAGGCTGTGGGAAGTCAGGAAGTGAGGTACTTGCAGTATTCTTAGCCTCTGACATGCTTTTGTATCCACTCTGTCTGATGCGTCCAATTAATTTTCATTGTCATTGGTAACCTAAAGGATGTTGATTGTGGGAGATAATGGTAACAATAGAATGTCAAGGAGCGGTAGTTAGATAATCTCTTAGTGGAAATGGTCATTTCTGGCCTTTGTGTGGTGTGAATGCAAGTTCCCACTTGTCAGCCCAAGCCTGGATATTGTCCAGATCTTGTTGCATTTGAAATTGGACAGCTTCAGTATCTGAGGAGTTGCAGATGGTGCTGAACATCGTGCAATTATCGGCGAACATCCCCACTTCTGATCTTGTGATGGGGGGGGTGGTAATTGATGAAGCTGCAGAAGATCATAGAATCATAGAAATCTCTACAGAGTGGAAACAGGCCCTTCGGCCTGACAAGCCCACACCAAACCTCAGAGCATCCCACCCAGACCCATCCCCCTATAAACCACCTAATCTACACATCCCTGAACACTATGGGCAATTTAGCATCCTTTGGGCCCAACAAGTCCACACCGCCCCTCCGAAGAGCATCCCACTCCAACTCATTCCCCTAACCCTGCATTTCCCCATATCTAACCCACCTAACCTGCACATCCCTGGACACTATGGGACAATTTAGCACAGCCAATCCACCCTAACCTGAATATCTTTGGACTGTGGGAGGAAACCGGAGCACCCAGAGGAAACCCACACAGACACGTGGAGAATGTGCAAACTCCACACAGACAGTCACCCAAGGGTGGAATCGAACCCGGGTCCCTGGTGCTGTGAGGCAGCAGTGCTAACCACTGAGCCACCGTGCCGCCCAAAACCTGATTCCCTGACCAGGTTGGTTGAGTCTAGGCCACTGCCTGAGGAACTACTGCAGAGATATCCTGGAACTGAGATGACTGACTTCCATCAACCACAACCATCTTCCTACATGGCCAGGTATGACTCCAACCAACGGAGTTTTTCCCTGATTCCTGTTGAATTCAATTTTGCTAGGGCTCCTTGATGCCCCTCTTGGTTGCATATGATCTTGATTATTTTTTAATATATTCATGGGATCTAGGTATCATTTATTGCCTAACCCTAATTGACGAGAGGGTAGTTAGGAGTCAGTCACATTGCTGTGGGTCTGCAGTCAAGGGTTGTCACTCTGACCTCACCTCTGGAATTCAGCTCTCACGTTTGAACCAAGGCGCTATTGAGGTTTGTGGCCCTGTCAGAAACTAAACTGGGCTTTACTGAGCAGGTGTTGCTTGATCACACAATCCGTCACTTTACTGATGATCATGACTAGACTGATAAGGTTTATTTGGCTGCATTGGATGTCCTGCTTTTTGTTACAAGACATAAGCCCCTTAAGAATACTGTATGTTATGATGAGATCACTTATCCTTCTAAACACCAGTGAGTGGAGTCTTGACCATTGCTAATAAGACAGTCTCTCCACACCAGGGATCATCCTCATGAGCCTTCTCTGAACTGACGTCAACAAAATATCTTCCCTTAAGTAAGGGGACCAAAACTGCTCACATTACTCCAGTTGTGGTATCACCAGCAACTTGTATGATTGCACTAAGACTTCCCTACTCTTATACTCCAATCCTCTTGAAAGAAGAACCAACATTCCGTTGTTCTTCCTGATTACCTCCTGCACTTGTGTGCTAGCTTTCTGTGTTTCATGTAGAAGTACGTTGAAGTCCCATTGTGTTGCAGCTTTCAGTAGCTTTTCTCCATTTAAACAATATTTGTCCTGGCATGCCCTCCTTAAGTCTTCATTGAATCAGGGTAAATCTCCTGGCTTGATGATTAGTAGAGTGGGGGTACACCGGTCCTTGAGATTGCATATTTTGTTGGAGTTTGATTCCGCTGCTGTTCATGGCCCACAGTCACTGGTGGATGTCCAGTTTTGAGTTGCTAGATCTGTTCAAAGTCTGTCCCATTTAGCACGATGATAGTGCCACGCAACTTGATGTATGTTACTATTAATATGAAGGTGGGACTTTGTCTCCACATAGACTGAATGGTGGTCGCTCCTTGGTGGATAGATGTATCTGCAGCAGGCGGATTGGTGAGGATGAGTTCAGATATGTTTTTCCTTGTTGTTTCCCTCACCACCTGCTGCAGACCCAATCCATTAGCCATGTCCTCTAGAGCTTGATTAGTAGTGCTGCTGCCAAATCACTCTTGGTGGACATTGAAATTCCTCGCCCAGAGTGCATTCTGTATCCCTACTTCCCTCCGTGCTTCTCTATGCTGAACAAAACTCAGAGGAAGATTTGTTTCATTAGCTAAGGGAGGAAGGTTTGTGGTAATCAGCAGAAGGATTCTTTGCATATATTTGACCTGATGCTGTGGGACTTCATGGTGTCCAGAATCCATGTTGAGGACTCCCAGGGCAGTGCTCTTCTGACTGTCTACCACTGCTGCCACCTCTGTTGGATCTGTCCTGCTGGAGACTAGTTCAGTCAAGGCAGCCACATTGTTGTGGGTCTCAAGTTACACGTTGGGTAAGGCTAGGTAAGAAAGGCAGCTATTCTTCCCTAAAGGATATTAGTGAGCCATCGCTGTGTAATCAAGTGCTGTTTGATAGCATTGCTAATGACACATTCCATCACTTTACTGAATGATTTGGCCACTCTGAATTTGTCTTTTTTTTTGTATAAAGGATATATCTGGGAAATTTTCTACATTGTTTGGTAGATGCCAGTGTAGCTGTGTTGGAATGTCTAGATCGAGTTTTCAATACTTAGAGCTGGAATGGTTTCAGGGAAATAGAAATTATGACTTGGAGCTGTGGCTGTTTTCTCCCAATGAACGTCAATCTTAAACGGCCCCATCTAAGTAAGAAGTAATTGATTTGAAACACTAACTGTTTTTCTCTCTCCATAGATATTTTCGCACCCATTGATTATTTCCAGTATTTTTGTTTTAGTTATCCTTTAATTGGAGTATATTGCTTCTGATTTGGGGATTAATGCTGTTTCTTTCTTTTATACTTGCAGAGCTCTGTGAAAGGAGATAAGTCTTCAGGTACTGCTGCATTCTTTCATACAGATATTTAACAGCTGCTAGTTATTCAGCACTTCTGAAAATGATGGGTTGTTCCAGAAAACAATTATCAGACTTGTGTTAGCTGAATGGGTAGCACTCCTTCTGAGGCAGAAGATTGTGGATTCAGATCACACTCCAAAGATTTAATCAGCAAATATAGACCAATCTAGATCTAGTATTGACAGAGCACTGCACTGTTTGTTGGAACATTTAATTGAGTTTCTGTGCCCATAGAAGTTCCCATGGTCAATTTAGAAACAAAAGCAAAAGATTTCTTTCTGGTGTCTTGGCTAATATTTCTCCCTCATCAAGCATTAAGAGAATAAGTAGTTGCTTGCTAGTTACAGAGCTTGAATCTTGTTCTATAAAGAGATGCCTTGCCAAAACATTTTTGTCTTGCAATAATCCGGACAAAGCAAAAATTTCAAATTTTAACCAATCGCAACAATATATTCTGTTATGTGCCAATTCAGAAATTGCCGATTCTCAAGCCCCACTACTGCTCTGGTATCCACAGAAGATAGTGATCTAATCAAAACAAAGTACCTGATTTCCCTGTCTGTTGGAATTAAGTTGCAGAAAATTTTGACAAGGTTCATTTAATTAACAAGAGCTAATGTATATTACAACAGAATCACAAGTAACCAGCCGTGAGATACCAGCTTATGGATCTACTAGTTAAAACTTTAACCTCCTTTTTAAAACTCCTGTGCTGCTGCTGGTATTGTGAACATTGATACACAGTACCTATTCAATTCCTTTATTCATTCACGGGATGAGGGTGTCGCTGGCTGGGCAGCATTTATTGCCCATCTCTAATTGCCCAGAGGGCAGTTCAGAGTCAACCACATTGCTGTGGGTCTGGGGTCACATGTAGGCCAAACCAGGTAAGGATGGCAGTTTCCTTCCCTAAAGGACATCATCAATGGATTCATGATCATGATTAGATTCTTAATTCCAGATATTTATTGAATTCAAATTCCTCCATCTGTCGTGGTGGGATTCGAACCCGGATCCCCAGACATTATCCAGGTCTCTGGATTAACAGTCTAGTGATAATACCACTGGGCCATTGCCTAGTTCCTCTGCCATTTCTTTGTTCTCCATTAGTACCTTTTACAACCTCATTTTCTCGTAGTCCAATGTCCACTCTTGTCTCTCTTGACTTTTATAAGCACAAAAAAAACTGTTGCAGTCTTCTTTTATATTTTGAAGTAGCTTACCCTCATTTCATTCCCTCCCAATTTGTTAGTTATCCTCTGGTTTTTATAAGACTCCCCAATCCTCTGGCTTCGAAGTAATCTTCACCACATTGCGTGCTTTTTCTTTTGCTTATATGCTGACCCTGACACTCTTGTCATCATCTTGCCCTTAGTATGTTTCTTCATCCTTGGGATGAATTTCTGCTGCCTCCTGCATTACCCCCAGAAATTCCTTCCATTCCTGACCCACCATCTTCCCTGCTAGGCTCCCTTTCCAATCAATTCTGGCCAGCTCCTCTCTCCTCGTTGCAGTTACCTTCACTGTACTGTAATACCATTATATCTGATTCCAGCTTCTTCCTCTCAAACTGCAGGTGAATTCTATCATGTTGTGGTCACTGCCCCCTAGGGATTCCTTCATCTTCAGCTCCCTAATGAATTCTGCCTCATTACACATCACCATGTCCAGAATTGCCTGTTCTCTAGTTGGCTGTACTGCAAGCTGCTCTTTTTAAAAAAAAAAAAAAAAAAATCTCATATACGTTCTATGAATTCCTTTTCTTGAGATCCACTACCAACCTGACTTTCCCAGTCCACCTGCATATTGGAGTCCCTCATGATTATTCTAATAATGCGTTTCTTACAAGCCTTTTTGATCTTCTGATTTATCTTTTGCCACACATACTGACTACTGCAAGAAGGCCCATAGATAACTTCCTGCAGGGTTTTTTTCCCTTTGCCTTTCCTCAACTCTACCCATACAGATTCTATACCATCTGAGTCAATATCACTTCCTGCTATCGATTTAATTTCATTTCCTACTAACAAGGGAGGCCACCACTGCCTGTCTTCTGCCTGTCCCCTTGATAGATCCCACATCCTTGGATACTTACTTCCCAACCCTGATTCCCTTGGAACCATGTTTCTGTGATGCCCACAACGTTGTACTTGCCAATTCGTATCTGTGCTATAAGCTTATTGACCTTGTTTCATATACCGGGTGCATTTAAGTACAATTCTGCATTGACTGTTCCCTTCTCATAATGTCCCCATATCTGCAGTGCTTGAAGTTAGATTCCTGATCTTTTCTATACTCTGTCTATTACTTATCTTGGAGACTTTAATAATCTCTAAGGCTTCCCCAACTAACCCCTTAACATTTTTCCGTGATTTTCAATGCAACTGCATCCCTGCACTGCCTAGTTCAAAGAAGGAAGGGAGCCAGACGATAGAAAACTAGAGGCTGATTAGCCTGATCTTGGTTGTTGGTAAGATTTTTAGAATTCATTATTAAGGATGAGATTATGGAGTACTTGAAAGTGCATGGTAAAATAGGGCTGAGTCAGCATGGCTTCATCAAGGAGAGGTCATGCCTGACAAATCTGTTAGAATTCTTTGAGATGATGAGCAAGTTAGACGAAGGAGAACTAGTGACATAATCTATTTGAATTTCCAGAAAGTCTTTGGTGGCAATCATTTAAACTCGAAGAATGTCACCTCATGCCAGCTTGAAGATGGGTGATGCTGGACTCTCCAAAGAATGCTCATCAGTGTTGACTGATATGGCCTTGGTGGGTGGGGTGGTGGGATGGCACAAGTCAGTTATGGTAAGGGGAAAAGCCTTTGCTGTTAAGGGCTGCTATCTTTCCTACCTCTGTTTACTCTTCAACTTGAAAAAGTTGATATTCTTAAACGTTTTACATTGCCAGTGAGTTATGGTTGGAAATTCAAACTAGGGCAACGTTAAAAATAAAAACCAAAAGAACTGCGGATGCTGTAAATCAGGAACAAAAACAAAGTTGCTGGAAAAGCTCAGCAGGTCTGGCAGCATCTGTGAAGGAGAAAACTGAGTTAACGTTTCAGGCCCGGTGACCCTTCCTCAGAAGCCAGACCTGCTGGTCTTTTCCAGCAACTTTGTTTTTGTGCAATGTTAAAACTGTTCATGCGTTTTGTCAGAAATTTGATGAAGACAGCTCCGAGAACTTTGCCTGCAAATAGTTAAACCATACAGTGAGAGATACATACTTCATCTTAGGTTGGTACGAAAAATTGTCATAAGTCAGAATTATGCTCACATTGATGAATGTCTGTCTCCTGTGTAGAGGTTAAAGGCCGGAAAGAGAAGCTGGAGCAGATGGCATCTTTTTCACTCTTTGGAAATGTCATGTCCATAGCTAGCGTCCAGCTTGCAGGTTCCAAGCGGGATGCGCTCCTCCTCAGCTTCAAGGATGCCAAGGTAAGCTGACATGTATGTATGTATGTTTTGTATGTGTGTTCTCTCATGTTTAGAAGGTTGATGGGTGAACTGGTATTTAAAATGTTAAAATAATTCCCAAGGGTAGATAGAAATTATTCTCTCTGCAGAATTCCAAAAGAAAAAAGTATGATCTTATAATTAAAACCATTCCAGTCCCTTAAGAAGTGCTATTTTTCTCACGCAAAGGGTGCTGGCAATCAGTTGAAATGTCCAAGGCAGAGATTGGTGGGTTTTTGTTGAGTAAGCGTATTTTGTAGCCTTTATGAAAGGTGGTGAATTGACATAATGTAAAAAATCAGTCATGATTGAATGGAATGGTGGAACATACTCCAGAGAATGAATGAATTCCTCCTGTTCCTTTGATATCCCAAGTTCTGATACTTCAGTATTTAATAGTCATAGAGCTGTACAGCATGGAAACAGACCCTTCAGTTCAACTTGTCCATGCTGACCAGATATTCTAGATTAATCTAGTCCCATTTGCTAGCATTTGGCCCATATCTTGTAAACCCTTCCGATTCATATACCCATCCAGATGCTTTTTAAATCTTGTAATTGTACCAGCCTGCGACACTTCCTCTGGCAACTCATTCCATACGTGCACCATCCTCAGTCCTAAGTTTTTCTTATCCATTGCTTGGTTCTTATTGAAAATCTTGACTTGAGGTTAGCAAAGAGCTGTTGTTGATGCCGTTCTCTCGTGAGCATATATTTTCTAAACAGCAAACCAGTTAATCATGAAACAGCTTGAACTGTTTGCAACAATTTAAGTTTGGATTTAGACTTTGTCAGGCACCCAAGGATTCAAGATATGTATGAATGGAGTCAATCGGAAATTAAGTTCTTTGGATCCAGACCTGCAAAGTGGCTACTACAGCTCCCAGAAACACACATTCTTAACGGTGCATATATCCTTCAGACCACAGCTTCGTATGGCATGTAGATGATTTTGTCTTCTACAATATTTAAAGATGCCCTGGTGCAGGATGATCTGAGTTTATTTTTTACCACTGTCTCTCCTTTGTTTTAAGCTGTCTGTGGTTGAGTATGACCCTGGAACCCATGACCTGAAAACACTCTCACTGCATTACTTTGAGGAACCTGAACTGAAGGTAGGATCTCAGTTATACGAGTATCCGAGTGCTTGTGATGTACATGATTGTGACGCAGTAGAATGAGATCTTTAGTCCTTTGATCCCATTGTGTTCTTTTTTGTTACAGATTTTAGTTTTTCTTTTCGTCTTTTTGATTTAGAAAGTAAAGTGGCTAAGCTTATTATTACCAGTAAGGGTGTTGGGAGATATTTGAATTTAAGGGCCAGTAGTTAGGCAGGCAGGAAGAGGAAAGATTGAGGATGGAAAGGAATTCCACAGCTCTTGACATTCTGGAAAAGGAGAGGGGAATAGTTCAGTTTTGATTTCAATACTTGAGTGCCAATAAGCGAACAATTAGTGTGCAAAATCTAGCTGGGGCAATTTGTGAGGTTAGATAAAGATATTTCTTCTTGTGGAAGATCAAAACAAGGGGTCATAATATCACCGAGCTAGCAGTTCAGGATGATGTCAGAAAGCATTTTTCTTCAGAGGTTGGTGGAAATTTGGAACTCTTTCTACTCTCAACAACTGTTGAGTCTGGAAGTCAATTGGAGCTTTTAAAATTAAGGTTAATAGATATTTATTGTAGAAATGAACCATTTTGGCCCAGCTGGCCTGTGATTTTATTTATACTTTGCAGAAACCACCTCCCAGCCAACTAAATGTAACTCTTTCAGTATATCTTTTTATTGATGCTATTTGACCCAACCATTGCAGAAGGCTCCAATTCCATATTTTAACTTTCAGGGTAAAGAAGATTCTGCTGAATTTCCTATTGAATTTCTAAAATAACTTCCTTACTTTCTGCCTGTTCTCTTTCTTGACAGGATGGTTTTGTGCAAAATGTTCACATTCCTTTGGTGCGTGTGGACCCAGATGGACGCTGTGCAGTGATGCTGATCTATGGAACACAGCTGGTGGTTCTGCCTTTCCGAAGGGACACCTTAAGTGATGAACAAGATGGCGTTATGGGGGAAGGGTAAGTTATGATTGAAAGAGAAAATACATTTATTATTGCATATTTAAAGTTCTTTTTGTCAATTTTTGTTTGTTCCTTCTCTGTCTTTGTTGTATTTGTCATGAAGTCATTGACATCTTATCTGTGGAGGTTTTGCCAATACTTATCTATGAAATTCAGATCCAAGTGGCAGTTTTTATATTTATTAATTCTTAAGGATAAATAATCACTTCTAAAGCCTGCACTACTTATGGTACTTATTGTGGTCAGTCACTGTCTTTACAAATGAGTTTGAGTTTGATTTATTGTCACATTTTACAGAGACACTGTGAAAAGTATTGTTTTGCGTGCTATACAGGTAGGGTGTACCACTCGAAGTGCGTCAGGGTAGTGGAACAGAGTGCAGAATATAGTGTCACAGCCACAGAGAAGATGCACAGAGAGAGATCAATATTAACATTTCAGAGAATGGGTTAATAGTTAAGTGTATTGTTATAGGCTTGGAGTCATGTAAAAGTTGACCAGTAAGGACAAACTGAAAGCTTGAACATTAACTGTCAGTTATCATCTAACTAGTACACTTTTCCTGGCAAAGCCTTTTAACAATCAGTCCATTTGCCAACCAATCAACACTCTCTTATACAGTAGAAAGATGTTGTTCTGCTTCACCTTGAGATGCTTCAAATATCCTGATGCATGCAAGGTGAAAAGCTTTGACACAATGTTTCTTCTTCCAGTAGTACTCACGTGTATGACCAAGTGTCTATTGGTAAGGACATGATTGAACCAGAAGGGTTTTTAAAAAATATTCTGGTATTGGACTGCTGCAGTGAAACTTGAGCTCATGTCTCAAGTGCATGCTTCCTGATTATTAGTCCAATAACTTAACCACAATACCACCTAGTATTTCCTGCAGAAGTTTGGTTCATGAACAATGGCCAGTTTGCCTAGGTGCTGACCAGTAGCAGTAAACACGCACTGCAGCAAATAGTCAACAGTTTAAGGAAGGCAGAAGTGAAAAACCAAATTTATTGAGAGGTGAAGTTTTGGAACCCAAACCTCTATCTTAGGATACTAAATGCACTGCTTTAAGTGAACTGCAGTTCTCCATGATTAGACAGAGGTTCACAGAGGATGGGGTAGTGATTCAGAAATATCAAGCTTGGCTTTTAAAAATTTCAAAGAAGGAAAGATTGAAAAGGGGAATAAGTGTTCATAAATTTGAATTGTGGAATCATAGAAATTTTATGGCAAAGAGGCCACATAGCTCATCTGTGCAAGCTGAAAAGCAAATCACTTGGCCTAATACCACTTTCTTCTAATTAACCTGTAGCCCTGCAGGTTATGGCACCTGAGGTGCCTATCTAGGTACATTTCATGCATTGAAGGTTTCTGCCTTTAATATCCTTTTCAGGCAGAGAACTCCAGACCCCACCAAGTATCTAGGTGAAAAGGTTTTTCTCATCTTCTGTCTAACCTTTCTACCAATGACTTTAACTCTATGCCCCTTGTCACTGGCTTCTCTGCTAAGGTAAGTAGGCCCTTCCAATCCATTTTATCCAAGTGCCTCATAATTTTTGACATCTCGATCAAATATTCCCTTAGCGTCCACTCCTACAAGGAGAGCAGACTCAACCTATTTCACCTTTGCTCATAATCTGAAAGGTTCCAACCCTGGCAGTATGCTCGCAAATCTCTGATCTCTCTTTAGTGCAATTGTATCCTCTCCATAATGAGCTGACTAGAACTGCACACACTACTCCAGTGTGGCCCAATGAATGACTCTATGGTTCAGCATTGCCTCCCTGCTGTATGTTCTGTATGCAGGGGATTGGTTAGCTCAGTTGGCTGTTGTGTGATGCAGAATGATGCCAACAGCGTGGATTCAATTCTCAAACCAGCTGAGGTTATCATGGAAGACACTCCTCCTCAACCTCTCCCCTTGCCTGAGGCCAGGTGAACCTCAGGTTAAACCTCTACCACCAGTCATCACTCTAATAAGAGTGCAGCCCTATGGTCTGGTAAGAATTTGGCAACATTTTTTTCTGTATAAAGGAAAAGATTCCATGAGCCTTATTAATCACCTTATGAGCTGTCCATACTACCTTAAGGAACTGTAGACAAATTTTCCTCACTTTCTCTATTCCTTTTTAGTGTTCTCCCGTTAATTATATATTCTTTTGCCGGGTTAGACCTGCCTAAATGAACCACATTGCTCTTCTCCAGGTTGAATTCCATTCACCACTCTTCTGCCCATTTGATGAATCCATTCATATCTTCCTGGAGTGCACAGTTTCTCTCCTTGCTATCGATCATGCAGCAAGTTTGTATTGTCTGTAAAGTTCTTGAGCATGCCCCTACGTTTTAGCCGAAGTCATGAATGTATACCATAAAATGGTTGAACCTACTAGCAAGTTTGAGGCAGATTTCTGTAGAGTGATAAAGTCAAGATATGGGGACAGCACAAGAAAGTGGCATTGAGGTAGATAATTGGCAAGATCTAATCAAATGATTCTGTCGGCTTGAGAGGCTGAATGACTACTCGTGCCTCTGTGTCCTGAGGAAGCCCACTGGAAACAGCCTTCTAATCGCAAAAATACTAATCAGCAGTTAGCTTTTGCTGTTAAGTAACCAATTTTGTATAAGACTATAAGGCATAGGAGCGGAGGTAATCTGTTCAGTTTGAGTCTGCTCTGCCATTCAATAAGATAATGGCTAATCTGATCATCCTGAATAGTATTTTCCTGCCTTTTCCCATAACCCTAATTCTTTTACTGATGAAAAATCTGTCTGCCTTGGCCTTGAATCTACTCAGTAGAATTGATCCAGCCTCAATGGTAATGAATTCTGTGGTAATGAATTTCACAGATTCATAACCCTCTGAGAATTGAAATTCCTCCTTATCTTTGTCTTCAATATGCAACCCCTTATTCTGAGATTATGCCATCTGGAGCTAGACTCTCCCACAAAGGGAAATGAACTTTCTGCATCTAGCCTGTCAAGTCCTCTAAGAATCTTTAAATGTTTCAATATGGTTTCCTCTTATTCTTCTATAATCCAAGAGCACAGGCTACTCAACCTTGTCTCTTAAGACAGCCCTGTTATCAGTCTAGACCATAGCATAAAATGGTACAGCACCGGAATGAGCCCTACGGGCCCACCATGCCAGCACCAACCATGATGCCAGTGGAATAGGATGCTATTGTAGTACAACTCTCAAAAGCAGCATATTTATGGAGCAAAATGTTGCATGAAGTCTGCTACTGTTTTTCAAATCCTGATGACTGCTGGTCAAAATATGCCTTGCTATGTTTCAATTTAAGGGCTAAATGTGTTTTTTTAAACAGTAGCAATAAGTTAGATTCTGCTGTTGCTGTTTTCATCTTATCAATAAACACTTACACCCACAGGCAGAAATCCAGTTTCCTCCCGAGTTATATCATTGACGTTCGAGAGCTGGATGAAAAATTGTTGAATGTGATTGACATGCAGTTTCTGTATGGTTACTATGAACCCACGTTACTCATCCTCTTTGAGCCTAATCAGACGTGGCCTGGGTATGTATACACTTCGATTTGTTTATTTGTTAACATGAACCGAGATACAGTGAAAAGTATTGTTTTGCATGCTAACCAGACGAATCATACCTTACATAAGTACATGAATAATAGAACAGAATGCAGAATATAGTGTTGCAGCTGCAGAGAAAGATCAACTCTCTAAAACGACAGGTCTGTTCATAAGTCTGATAGCAGTAGGGAATAAGCAGTTCTTGAATCTGTTGGTATGTGTTTTCAAACTTTTGTATCTTCTGCCAGATGGAAGAGGATGAAAGAGAATATAACCAGGATTGGAGGGGTCTTTGATTATGTTGGCTGCTTTCCCAACACAGCGGGATGTGTAAATGGGGTCATTGGAAGAAATAGTAGGAACTGCCGATGCTGGAGGCTGAGATAACAAGGTGTAGAGCTGGA